ATATTTGGGTGGTTGATTAGATGAAAAATTAAAAAAAAATGAATAATAAAAAAAAAAAAAATGCGAAATGAGAAAAATAATTATTGTTTGTAAGAAATGTATAGGAAAGAAATGTAAGTTATTATAATTAAAAAAAAAATTGTGTATTTTGTCGGTGGGTAAAAAAAAAGCTTACATATTGTTAGATGAAAATTTTTTTTAAATTAAACTTCTATATAAATTCTTGTGTGTATATAAAATCTATATTTTCGTAAATTTCTAAAAGTGATTTGTTGATTAAATTTTGTGCTTTTTTTTCGTATAGTTGTTTGTTTGCTATAATATCGTAAAAAAAGTATGAAGAGAGAAAAAAAAAATATAAAATAATTATTATAATTTTCGATCGATTTTTCGAATTAATCTCCGAATATTGAATAACTAACTGTACAAAAAGAAATTCTTCTTTCAAGTAAAAATAAAAATAATAAATATTAACTACATTAACTACAGAAAATTACTAATGAAAACCTAAAAAAAAGCACTTAATATAGTAGTAGTATTAAAATAATTATTGATTATAGAAAAAAAAAGTCCGTCTATGTTGTATCTTCAACGATAATCAATATCGTTAAGATAACATTTTATCAAAACCCCACCATAATAACAAAATAATTAAAAAAATTGTCCGTTTGTCTAATAATAATAAAATAATATATACAATGTAGATGTATATATATATGTTGCGTTGCGAAAATATATATATAACAAAATAACATCAACGATTGATGTTCTAATATAATATTACACCGCCTCCTCGCTCAGACTCTGACAACAACGTCATCAACCATCTTTGCTATAATGAGACGTAAAAAAAGAAGAAAAAAAGAAAAAGAAAAAGAAATTGAAATTTCGTCAAAAACTTGCTACTCGAGCAAGTTAAACAATTGTTCGATTTTTACCGTTGTCACGAAATGATAATCGATTGTCCAAAAAAAAAAATGAAATTTAATTGATGTTATAAATATCCCCATTCTTCTCGAAGAGTTTAATTTAAACTCTTGAAGAGTTGCGAGATGTTCTTGGTCGAGAAGTAGTACCTGAAGGTACTGAACCGGTTTCGATATTTGGTACTGGTACTTGAACTTTAGGTGTTGACATCAATGGAAGTTTCTTTCTTGGAAGTTCGACGACTAAAATAAATAAATAATATTTTAATTAGATAATCATATAAGGAGAATAAGGTTATAATATAATTAATATAATTTTAAATGTTTTTTCAAACTTACCGATACGCTTTCTGCGAACATTATCTGAACAACCGGCTTCACAGAACCATTGTTCCGAGCTCGACACTGTTTCATCAGTGATTTGAGATGAGAAGCATTTTTGATGGAATGCTTTAAAGCATCCTTCACATCGAACTAGCACGTTGCTCATATAGGATTCTTGTTTTTGGCAAACGGTGCAGACTGTGAATTTGAAAATTATTTAATATAAAAAATTCTTAAATCTTATAAATCCCGTCGTATTATTATAATCTAGTTTTTAAACTTACAGAGCTGCAATACAGGACGATCTCTATCTTCAACAGATTCATTGACAAACCCGGTTAAGTCCAACCTTGGTAATTTACAGGCGAACCCGTATCCCTTATAATCACAACCATGTTTACTATTAAAAAAAGAAAAAAAAAAGGTTAGCCATCTAAATCATCATATTTTTAAAATTTATAAATATATATATATTTTTTCAACTCACTTGCACAAAGTTCGTTTTCCCCATGGACCAGGTCTCCAGTTGACACCTTCAGTGGTACCACAATATCTACACCAATCAATTCCAGACTTTGTTAAGGTTTGAAAGATTGTTGGAGATTGGGTAGGACGAGGAGATGTTACTTCGAGTCCTTCCATTTCATTAGATTCTTCAACAGGTGTTGCGAAACATTGTGGAGGACTTTCAATTGGTAATGAAGCGGGAGTGTTTGCTCCACTTGATCGTTTTGATGAAGGTTTAGAAGTCTTTGAAGATTGCTTTCCACTATTAAAATTATAAAAATTATATAAATTATTATGAATATTTAAAAAAAGGAATATTAAATTAAAATTAAATTAAAATTTACCGTTTCGTTGACAACAACACTTTTGATTTGTTCTTGATTGAACTTGACTTGGTTTTTGGAGAACCTTTTGATAATGCGGCTCTTGCTTTTCCTTGAGATTTAACAACCTTTCTCGTACGAGATTTCTTGTTATTGTTTGATGGACGATATTCTTCGTCATCATCTTCTTCAGATTCAGTATCACTACTATAATGATATTCATCAGTAACAGTGTCACTAATATCTTGAGTTTCATTAGCAGAATCCATATCTTCATCATTATCATTTACGGAAGAAAATTCTTCACTATCACTTTCTTCATCTTCATCTTCATCATTTTGTTTATCATCATTAATTTTAATGGACTTTTTAATATCAACTTTAAATTTCTTTTGTGCTCTCTTATCATTAGATTCAGCATCAGAAATATCATCATCAGATGAAGATTCACAAGATAATCTACGTTTAATACTATGATCACTAACAAGTTCAGGAGTTCTTAATGGAGGACTTGGTATACCATCACCGAATTCAATATGATTTGGACGAGTAATAACTGAAGGAGGAAGTTTTTTAACTACAACATTTTGAGGAGAAACAGAATTTGAAGAAGTAGTTTCAATAAATCTTGGATCAATTGTTTCTGGAGTGGTACGAATAAGGGTAGGATCAATAGTAGTTAGATTTGATGAAGAAGAAGAATTAGATGAGGAAGTAATTGAAACATTCATAGAAGAAGGAGGAGGAGGAATAGTAGTAACAGGTGATGAAATAATATCAGATGATTTAGAAACATTAACATTTAAATCAGAAGAAGTAGAAGAAACAGTAGCAACTTCTGACATATTTGTTGAAGTAGTTTCAGTAAAAGGTTTATCTTTTGATAAATCCAACATATTCCATATTAAATCATCACCAAAATCGATAGGACTCAAAGGAGGAGAATATCTTTGACGAGGAGTCAAAATATCAGTATCAGAAGAAGAATCACTATCAAAATGAAGAACTTCTTCCGTATCTTCTATCATAGGATCAGAGAAGAAAACATCATTACGAACACTATTTTTTTGACAAGATTTTTTATCACTATCATAACAAATGGTAGGAGATTGATCAAGAGAAAAATCGATTGGTAAATCATTGGGCATTGAAAACTCGGCTATTGATTGAGATACATCTTGCATTGTTGAATCCAAAGAAATAAGAGGTTGAACATTCAAAGTTTGAGTTGGAACAACATGAGAAGGGGTAATATTCATAGGAGTTGAATGATGTTGTTGTTGAGAAACATTATTAATTGAAGATATCGTACGTGAAATAACACGAGATTGTTGAATCATTTGATTATGTTGTTGTTGTTGCTGTTGTTGTTGTTGTTGTTGTTGTTGTTGTTGTTGTAATTGAAAATATTGAAGTTGTTGGGAATAAAGTTGTTGTTGTTGTTGTTGTTGTTGTTGTTGCTGTTGTTGTTGTTGATGAAAATAAGTTTGATAAGGTTGAACTTGACTAAAACAATTTTGTTGCATATTATTATCATAATAATCCATTGAAAGTAAAACAGTTGATGACATTTCTTTTGAATTCTGTAAATTTGAATTTGGTAAAATATCACCGAAACCACATTGTGTTGGAACGATTATTTGAGGTTGTTGATAAAGTTGTACCGTCGTAGGTCTGGACATTGGTAAAATTTGACGTGGAATTTGAGAGATAATGGAAGGTTCGTTATAATTCGTACTTGACAAATTACGTTGATTATTTGATTTATTTGCACTTGATGTACTTGGCATCGTTATAATAATATTAATATAATATAATATAATATAATATAATATATTTTGGAAGGAGGAAAAGTTTTTTGTTTTTTTATGTTTTTCGTGAAAGAAGGAAAAATTTTTTTTCTAAAAAAAAAAAAAAATTAATTTCTTTTCTTTTAAAAAAAAAAAATATTAATATATTATTTTTTATTTTTTATTTTTTCTTATCAACAAGAAGGT